CTCAGTTTGTCTCAACCGGACAGCTAAATTTTTTTTTTTTTAAACGAAACTAAACGAACGAAACCAACCTGCGTCAGTCGATCATGATCTTGTCCCCATCGGAGTTCCCCGATTCGGCGGGGGTCGAGCTGCTGGGCTGTAAGCCGCCAAATTTCTCCACTTCGTTCATCTTGTCTTTGTCTTTGCCTTTGTCCACGTTGTTATTGTTGTTGTTGTTGACCACGTTGGTTTTGTTGATGGCGGTGTCGTTGTTCTCGAGGTTTCTCACGTTCCACACGTTGAGGCTGCCGTCGTAGGAGGAGGTGAATAATCTGCCCTCCACCACCTTAGGGATAAGATAAGATAAGATAAGATAAGATAAGATAAGATAAGATCAGATCAGATCAGATCAGATCAGATCAGATAAGATAAGATAAGATAAGATAAGATAAGATAAGATAAGATAAGATAAGATATACTTTGTTCATTCTTCTTTTGGGACGCACTGACAATGTGCTCTAACCATGTTTCCCAACACAAACTATAATAGGCCTGTACGGGGTGCCGGACCAAAGCAGATACGTTAGGACCTACCAAAAGAAAAAATATACACCTACATACAAACAGTTATACACGTGAACAGAATATGTGCTGGCACTTATATACTAACAAAGTTTTCAGATCGCCACCAGCGCTTTCTTGTCATATCTCCATTTTAATAACAATGAAAACAGTAGTTCGTAGCCAAGAGTGAGCTTAAGAAGAAGTCACATTTTCACTGTTTAAAAAATGGACATACGACAAGAAAGCACTGCCATGTATAAAACAGGTTGTTGTTCTCAATGTTGCATTCACCATGACGTGAACACAGAGCTTCTATCTAATCTTCTCCAAAGACTCAGACAATATGGCTTAAGCTCACAATTCTCTTCATTCACCTTCACCTCTGCCCATTCGTCTACTCTTTATTTTTCCTTCCACCCACCTTTCTCCCACCCTTTTTTCTCCTTCCATCCACCTGTCCCCCCACCTCCCATCTCCCCTTTCCTCCACCACCCTTGCGCTATCCTTCCATCCACCTCCCAAGCCCACCCCTCCCACCCCCACTATTTCGTCAATCCCTTACTTCCTTCTTCCATCTACCTCTCACCCACCCACCTTTCCCTCCTCCTTTTCGTTTACTCCTTATTCTCTCCTCCC